AAGCGCGATACAAGAAATATAAATTTGAAAGCAAAGTGATGAGATACGTACTTAAATCCCACTCGAGATGAAGCTGCGGAAACTTTTCAGAATGAATCCTATCCTATCCTACCACTTATTTATAGAGATTCTTCATCAAAACATATTCAATTCAAAATTTCTAGTTTTAAGAGAGAATTTAGGATGGATATTTTTATCATAATAATTATTAAAAAAAACCTACGTATAACCCATAAAAATGAATATAAGTTAGCTATCGCATCCATAAATTGAACTCAAGTTTAATTAGCTCGAGTAATTTTATCATCAAGTAATTGTAGTTGAACTCAACTTCTTTCTTTATTAAATATCTCGACAAGCCGAAGACACTATTATCACGCCAAAGGTAACACAGCCGAGTTGGTCGGGAGTGTGGTCTTTCGTACTTGAGAAGTGTGAGGTCTCAGGTTCGAACCCCGCTACACCACTTGGTGTTCCCGGAGGCACCGCGAGTGTTGGAGACGAAGTCTCCTCCTAGTATCGGATGCTAGGCCTTGAAATGTTGCTGATGCAGGTACTCCCTAGGTTTAGTAGACAATGTTGCCACAAAGTGGCATGTGAGGTTGAGGTTCCTGGGTAATAAAAAAAAACACAATTAATCACTCTTCATCCTCACAATTATTTATTATATCTTTTATCTAATAAATCATTTAAAAGTAAAAATCGCAAGAATAATAATTTATATTACAATTTTGTAGGCATCTAATTAGAAGTCTCCGATTAGCACATTATCTCTCCTTAATTTTCAATACCCTAACATTACTAAATGATATGTATATTTTCATTTTAATTTAAAATTTAAAGATTTTGGCATAGAAAAATTATATTTAATGTGATTTCAACAATGACATTCATGCAAATATGATTTATATTAAAAAAATCATTTAAAAACATGGTAACAACCACGTGTTAGGTTCCTTTACTACAATGGTACATAACTACACAAATATAGAATGAAAATTTTACAATCTTAGTATTTTTTAACCTATCGTTACTAATGTATCTCTTTCATTTCAATTTCAAAGTTACATATTTTCATAGAAATTTTATATTTAATTTTATTTACAAAAAAATTAATAGTAAGTATTAGTAGTTATTAGTTGTTTTGTAATTTTGGATTATCTATGTCATGAGTCTTACTTCTAAGTTTCTTTTGTAGATTAGTATGTATACCATAATATTTATACATTGCTCGTGAGCACCGATTTTTGAGGTGGTAAATTTTCTTATATTCCAATGAGATTCTCACTACCGAAGGACCATCAACATGAAAACCAGAATTTTATTTGATCTAACAACAGGAGTTGGATCTCCAATCATGTTTCTAGAAAGTGACTCGCAATTGATTCCAAGACAAATAGTATTCTTCACATGATAATTATCGATTAGGAAAGGCAAACTAATACTTTCACGATGACCACGCTAATTTGGACTCTACAATTCAAATTTGTAATTTTACAAATTTTCTTACTTTTCCGAGGATAATGGTATTTCGGTGCAAATACTCAAACACATGATTAAAAATTGACAATCTTTGTTTCAAGACAGCATAGTGTATGCCTTGAGAACTTCAAAGTGGAGTCTGCCAACAACATATTACATGCAAATTTTAAACAAATCGGTGATCACGTTCCAATCAAATACCACACTCCAAGCTTGCTATGATATTATGAAGCTTATAAGCTTGATTTCATCAAATATGATGGAATTTAAAATTTGGCTTTGAATGTAATGGAGAGAAGAAAGAAACTATTGATTGTGGAAATATGTTTTAGTCATCGAGATAAATGCATTGTTATTGGTTGAGATGATAATGTTGCTAATGCAAGCAATCGCAAAGAAGACAAAAAGATAATTTGTAGTATTCTTTGACATCAATGAGTAAATCAAAGTGTGGTTTTATTATGTTTTTTTTTAGGAGTGAGTTCCGTCTAATGGGTTTATTTCTTTACTTTAAATAAGAACTTTCGTTAATACATATGTTAGAACAACATAAACTCTATGATATTCCTTTTTAGGGACTGGATACCGTGACAACTCCTAAGAGGTTGTCAATTTCGCTTCTCCTTTAGTAGTCGTCCGTCCCCCCTTCCGCTCCATCTAACTGTTGATGATGGCCAAGGGCAAAAAAGAGAGTGCCCATACTGGATCTGCCTGTCCACTAATGCGCTAACGTCAATCAGGTTTTGAAAAGGGAAAGAATTCGGTGGGGGAGAGAAATCAGCCACCCTCCTCGCAGAACGATTCATCTCCCCCAAACCCTTTTCCTCCGTATTCTCCCAAAAACCTTCCCTTCCACCATCTCCGATCAATTTTCTTAGCGTTTCCTGCCATTGTCTCACCCGGTCCCGTGTTGAGTGCAAAGTCTTGGTGTTCGTCTGTCCATAAACCATTTTCCCCTCCATCGTCTCTCAAAAAACCTAGCAACCGTCACCGATCAACTTTCTCGACGCTTCTTTCCCTCCATCAACTTTCTCGACACTTCTTTTAGTGCATCGCCGAACATCCTTCCGTTGTCGTCCCTTCTTCCTGTCGTGCAAACCATCACATGTGAGGTATAATCATCAAATCCTTTCTTTCTTGTGTGGCCTGTTCAATTTGGTTTTTGTATAATCGAGTGGTACTTTGAATTGGTAGCATTGCTATCACTACAAAGGCAACACTATTGGTACCCGTTTTAGTGGTAATTGTGGCAATTGTACCAATTTTAATTGTAGCATGATAGTGGTAATTTAATTGAATGGTACCACTGGTACTAGCAGTAGTGGTAGTTTACTAGGAGGGTACTACTCACTTGCACCAGTTGTAGTGGTAGTATATTAGCGGTAGCACTGATATTTGTGTACCAGTAAATTTTGGTTTGGCAGTAGTGGGTTTAAAATAATTAATTTTTACTAGTAGTGGTAGTCGAAGTTGTTGTTATTGGTAGTGGTAGTTGAAGCTGGTATTAGTCCTTAGTGGTTGTTTTTTGTGGCACTGTTGAATGGTTTATAGTGGTAGCATAGTAAGTTTTAATCAAATCTGTATAACAATGTAGTTTTTTTTGTACCAGGTACATAGCGACGACAAAAAAACAACTTGCAACAAAAAACTGCTACATATAAATCTCGACAGCTTATCATCTGTGAAGGAGAGTCATCATATTATGGTCCGAGCCCTAGTAAAAAATGGACACGTGAGGTGATAACGGAGAGTCCCTGTGAGAAGAAGAAGAAGAAGAAGAAGAAGAAGAAGAAGAAGCAAAAAGTAGATGCAAGTTCAAGCCAATTCGGAAGAAGTGCAGCCGGAATTCAAACATTGAAAATTTTGAATTTAGCATTTCGAAAGAGAGGAAGGCTATACTGAAAAAGCTTGAGGAGTATGATAATTGTTTATGTACATTTTGGAGTATGAATAAAGCTTGAGGCGTATGATAATTGTCTATTGCTTTATTAATGTAAACCAATTATATTGGACAAAATAGTGGCAGCTTGCAGTAGTACATTTGATTTTATGTTCCATTGGCATTATCCCATTACATCTAACACTAGTTTTTCCCATAAGCAATGTAGTTAAAAGCGAGTTTCTACGTATAAACGTTTTGGTGATCTAGAAGCGTAAAATCATAAGTTTTTAAGTTTTAAAGCGGAGGTTTTAACTACATAAGTTTTAAAAACTGAGATTTTGTGTAGAAGCGTTTTAGTGAACTAGGAACGTAAAATCGTAAGTTTTTAAGTTTTAAAGCGCGATTTTGACTACATTGCCCATAAGTATTCTGTGACTAGCAGTGGTACTTGTATAACTACTAGTACTGGTATATGTACCAGTAATTACTAGTGGTACATGTACTAGTAACTAATGGTGGTACATATGCAAGAAACTAGTAGTGGTACTTGTACCAACAACTAGTAGTGGTACTTGTATCATTACCAGTTACTAGTACATGTACTAGTCACTAGAAGTGGCACATGAACCAGTAGGCAGTAACTCCTAGTAGTGGTACTCGTACGAGTAAGTTTGTTTGCTAAAGCTACTGATATGCAAGAAGGCACTATTCCGTGGATATACTCAGGTGTCACAACAGTAGTAGAATCATTGCTTCATGTAGGTTTCCAAGTATGAACAATTTTTTTTGTTATTTGTTGTCTTTATTTTGATCTAGGGCAAAATACTGTTTCCTACATTGGCAGAATTGGGTTGGTGTTTGAGTGTGAAAATTTAGTACCTTCATCCTAGTTATTTTAACTACATAACCATTTACTGGTACCATTTTAGTTGTACTGGTACGAAATTAATGTTACTGGTACCAAGACAATGGTATTGGTATCAAAATCATGCCGCTAGAAATCATTGCTCAGTCTGGAACCAAATCAGTGGTACTGGTACCAAGCATAAGAATTGTACCAAATTAATGTTATTGGTACTAGATCAATGGTTCTGGTACCACAATTATGCTACTAGTTACCATTACTCACTCTAAAACAAAGTCAGTGGCACTGGTACTATTAATACAACTTATACCAAATTAATGCCACTAATTACTATTATTAAGTCTAGTAGCTACTCTCGACGAGAAGCCTCTTCCATGAGCATAACTCTTGTAAAACAAGTAAATTCATCCTAGTTCTGGAAACATAGGTAATTCCACGTTGAACTGTCTGATGGGAAGATGGTTGATACCAAACCTGTAAATAAAGAATAAATGCATTAGCAAATCAAACTATTTATCAAATTACTACGGACGATGGTTGATGCCACTAAGAAAGTACCACTAAATCACTACAACTAAATGACTACCACTAAGGGAGTACCACTAGACGACTACATGTCTACCAATACATGACTACCACTAGATGATTACCAGTACATGACCCGCATCCAGGTACCACTAGGCAACTACCACTAAATTACTACGCCTAAATGACTACCACTAAGTGAGTACCACTAGACAACTATACATGTCTACCAGTACGTGAATACCACTAAATGATTTCCACTGGATGCCTACCACCACAATAATACTACCACTAACTAACTTGAACCATAACTACTAGTACATTTTTGCAGAAATTATCTGTACCACTATTAAAACGGTACAAATGCAACGAAAGTCGTAACGACACAGGTTAACCCTACCGCCATTGTTGTCGTCGACGCCATTCTCCGCCACATCGTCGTCTGAATCAGCGTGATCGCCTGATTGCGGTACGAAATGGTCGTTGTTCTCCACGTCGACGCCGTATTGGACGTTGTCCGTGATTTTTTCCCCGTTCCGGATGGTCTTCGTTGACCAGCTCCTCCACGTCCAAAACGTCGCCATCATCGCCATTCTCCGTCAGGTCCGGCTGCTCAACTCCGATCTCATATATATTCTCGTCGACGTCGTCGTTGCTTGTCAATGGGACGTTCAGGTCAAAGTCGAATTAACAACTAGGTTAAGCTCCACCTCGTTCTCCGTCGTCGTTGCTGATGTAGTCGTCCATTGTATGGCGGCGCCCGCGTCGCTGGTATTTTCCGGAGCTACTGATGCTTGGTTTGATGAGGGAGAAGCCAAAAATGGAAGGGAAAGAGTTCCAGCCGAAATAGGCTCTTCATCTCCCTCCAATCACGCTCCAAGATTCTCTCTATGCATTTAAGTGGTAATTCAAAATTATTAGAATTAAAAACTTACTAAAAAGCCCTTCTTGTGCTCCTGACCCCCGGATGAAGAAGAAGGATGGCCGGCAAAAAGGGGGAAGTGAAATTGACAATCCCTAAAGGGTTGTCACGCTATCCCGTCCGTCCTTTTTATTTTTCATACAATCATTCTAACTTTTTATGGTACCAAATATAAATTTAAATTGCTTTGTGTAATTTCTATTGTTATTTATGCTATTTATAAAATTCTTCCGTCCAACTGACGGCCCAAATCTAGTTATTACTATAGGTTTTTGGTGGCGATGGACATGGCCGAGCTATATGTTACATATAGCCAATGAATTGTGCTCTCGGGATTTGATAATCGTTGGGTTTACGAGTAAAACTAATTCGGATTCTGTCACAGGATTGAAGCAATGCTTTTGGAGACTAGAGACAAAGGAAAGGGAGCTTGGTGGCATAATTTGTAGATACTTTTATTCTGTGAATGAAAGTGAATTAAGCATAGATACTTCTATTTTATCACGAAGAAATTGATGGTTTATGTTTTGTATAAGATATAATCAGGGAAACAAAAACAAATAGAAGAATGATTTCTTTTTATAAAGTTACGAATCATTTGTTTCGTGAATTTTAAAAAGAGAAAGTTTTGGAAATCATGGATATATGTGAAATTTAGGTTCACTATAAACTTGAAAAATATCATTGTTTGTTTCATGGATTTCATGAGGGATTTTTGTTAATTGGATATGTATGTATGAAGTAAAATTGACATTATTGCCCTCATTGGATGTGAGAAGAGAAAAGAAATAGGAGTAGGTTGGTCACAAACCATGGACTACAAGTCCATGGTCAATTCATGCATAAAGGGGTGGGACTTTCAAGGGGAGTTGATCATAAAATGCGTCCTTAAAATTACTAACGATCGTCCTGAAAAACAGAAAAACTTACATCATTAACCTTTTGTCATTTTTAGCTTCCGTTTAGCAAACAAACACCACTTTGACTAAGAAAATAAGAAAAAAATCAGTCTTCTATACTTTCAAGTTTATCATTGACATTGTGGAGTTGTAACTCGTAATCGTTGTGGGAGAGGACCGCCAGAAAATCACAGATTGCTGTCATTCTAGTAGGAGAACGATGAGGGAGAACAGAAGGGATAAGGGTTAATAAAAAATTTGTAATTAATTTCTTTTAATTTAATGGCCACATCACCAAATTTTGATGAGTCAGCAATTCATTTGCTACAAAGTCAACTAACAGTTGACCGGATAGAAAGTTAACGATTTGGCTAATAAATTGTTTTTTAAAAGGTTTGACTTATTTTGTTTAAAACGAAAGATTTGCCTAATAAATTGTATTTACTCTTATTATAATCCGACAGCCTCTAATCTATTTGGGTAAGTATTCGAGTTCTACGTTAATTCCAGTTTGAGTTTTCTTATGTTCTTCTACTCAAATTTCACATCCTTTTACTAAGTTAGATTTAGAGTAGATGGGGCAATTAGAGTACTTATCCATGAATTCAATCCAATCAATCTATCAAATTATTCGCATAATCCAATCCATTTGATCCAAATCTAATTGTATTGGTGGATTCATTGATCAAAATGACAAATTATGATTTGGTACTAATATTTTAATATTTTACATTTTGGTACCTAAAACTTATTTTTTATACAGAAAGTATCATTGAAAATTACGTTTTGATATCTTAAAATTTTCATTATTACATTTTTGTACCTAAACTTTATTAAAATTTACATATTGATTCAAAACTTGAATACCATTTGGATTTACGGATCAATCCACCAATATATTTGATCCAGTCCATTTGAGAGCAAGGAACACTTGTGTAAAGCTATCTATCTTATCTTTGATCTTCGTTGGACTCACAAACATTCCCTGCCGACACTTGCAATCCATCGATCACATTGACAGAGGAGGAAGTTAAAGTTACCCTACCCTTGTCCGAGACTATGGCGACAAATGGACCCAAGTCTTGAAACGTGTGCGGTACGTGTTCCATAGCTTCAGAACTCTACTAGTAATTATGGCGACGGCCAGACTAGAGACCAAGGAGGAAACAGAGAGAAGTTACATTCGACTGCTGGTGGTGGAAGAATCAAAGCTGCTTCTTCTTCTTCTTCTTCTTCTTCTTCTTCTTCTTCTTCTGTTTCGGAGGAGAATTAGTAAGCACAAGAGCTCTCTCTCTCTCTGTTTCTACTCTCTTCCTCCTCTGCATATTCGGTTGACCTGTTGCAATCGGTGAGTATTTCTTTAAATAGTTGGTCGGTTTGTTGCTGAAAGATACGTTAGTAATAATTATCATGTAATATTCCTATCTTTTCTTCTTGGGGTGGTCTTTGTTCTTTCTCCATTGGGGATACGGAGCTCTCTGTTTTGTTTAATTCTTCATTTGCCGTTCCTCTCGTCAGTGGTCACCATTGTAGCCGCCCATTTCCTCCCCCCTCTTCTTGCTCAATTATTCTTGGCTTGGCTTGGCTTCTTTCTTTCTTTCTTTCTTTCTGAGGCTCTAAATAAACCAATTTTCCAAAGGGCAAGTATAGCAAAACAGCTGGTTTTCAACTGTAGCCTGTTTTCTTCTTTTGCCCAGTTTTTTTCTTCTTTTTTTCTCGATAGTTAATTGCTTACTTGCTCAGCTTAGTTGAAATGAATGTCCTTAAGTGGGTTGTTGGAATAGTTGTGAGGAAGTTATTATGCAGTGATTACTAATGAATGCTTTGATAAATTGGGCTATGTGGGCGGGGAAGGCTGAGAATTGGATTAGGTGGAAGATAATGTGCAGAATTATTCTTAGTAGTTTCACATTCAAACTGTCGAAGCCCGAAAGCTCTTGCTGCTACTGCTGCTGGGTTTTCTCACAATTGCGATTTGGGTTTCTTGCTGTGGAATTTGCAGTTGTTATCAGGGTTGAAATGGAGGAGAGATACGAGCCCATTAAGGACCTTGGTGCAGGGAACTTCGGCGTCGCAAAGCTGGTTAAAGATAGGAAGACTAAAGAACTTCTTGCTGTGAAGTACATTGAAAGAGGGAAAAAGGTAATAATAACTTTCTTTTCCCATGCTTCTTAGATTTGTGTTATGTTTGGAATTCTTAGCTCAGTTCTGTTGGAACGTTTGCAGTGGTGTTTTGTTTTGAGAACTCTCTGCTTTCAGGGTTTAGATGGATTGAGGAATTTCATCTAAATGGTTAAAGGTCGTCCTAAAAATTACTAACTATCGTCCTAACTTAATATGTAATTTACCGAATTGTCCATTTTGAATTTCAAAATCAAACACAAAACAAACAACCCCTCCCCTTCAATAAATCTAAAAAAATATAAACCAAAATCCAACAAATTATCTTATGGACCGAACCATAAATCGTAGTAAAAGAATAGAAAATTATTGATATAAAACAAAAAAATCCAAAAAAATTCTAAAACCCCTCAACGAAGCCAATTTTCGGTTGTACCATGGCTCAACCTAAGGAAATTTTCGGTTGTACCATGGACCAACCGAAAATTGCCTTAGGTTGAGCCATGGTACAACCGAAAATTGGCTTCGGTTGAGCCATAGTGCAACCTAAGGCAATTTTCGGTTGGTCCATGGTACAACCGAAAATTGCCTTAGGTTGAGCCATGGTACAACCGAAAATTGGCTTCGGTTGAAGAGTTTTGGTTTTTTTTTGAAAAAAAAAATCGGATTTTTACCTCATCGGAGTCGCTACTCATGATTCGGACGTATTCCCAACAATTACGACTCGAGAATGTCAACGATGAATTCGAGAGTGTGGGAAATTGAGTGTTTTTCCTTTTTTTTTTAGTTAAAGTGATGTTTGTTTGCTAAAGATGACAAAAGGTTAAAAGTGTAACTTTGTTATTTTTTAGGATGATCAATAGTAATTTTAAGGACGTTTATCATGCTTTCATGTTGTAGAGTTCATTTGTTGACATAAACTTTCTTATTGATGGGATCATTCCAGGGCCGAAAGCGGCCGACTTCAACACCATAGTTGAAGAAATGTAGAGGATGTGGAAGTTAAATCTGGTACCCTTTTCAACCAAAATATAGGAGCTTCAGTTTTGGAAATGGCTATTGTCTTTGAGGTCTCTCATTAGAAATTATGCTGGATGGGTTGCTTTAAGATAGTGCTGCCTGCTTCTGCTTAAGAAGGTATGGTTAGAACTTAGAACAACACTTGATTCCCTCACGAGATCATGTAGGGTTTGGGATACTGGAGTCAGTAAAGTTTCTATAGACGTCCTTACCAGGCTCGGTATGCTTCTGGTACTTTATTGTCTTATCAAGGAAATCAATGGTTCTTATAAAAAAACACACTTTGAAGTAGCTCTGGCAAATGCTGTCATCTCCATTGGCCGTGCAAATATGCCAGGGTCATTATCATCATACATAAGAAAACCTCTATACATGTTAAAAATCATGTGATTTCATCTTCAAGTTGGTGGTACCATGGTGATTTATTTTGATGTATTGGTACAAAACTCTTTTGACTTGAAATGAACTTTCAAATTATTTGAATCCATGATGTCCTTCTTCATTATTATGTCTTGTTTACTTGTTATGGCTTTTTAAATACCCGTCATTAGAACCATTCATTACTAAAACAAAAATAATCAGCCTTTGATGTCTGATAAAAATATAAATAATTGCTAGTTAGTTTACTTGCTGCTAGACTTGAATTGCCTTTGCCCACTTGCTGTGGGCAGCTGTTGACAACGAGAAGTAATAGTATGTTTCATTGGATGGATATTTTATCTTGGTTTTCAACAACAAAACTGGGTCACAATCATTGTAGGTAATGTTTGTCCAGTTGCCAAAGTGATGACAATCAGAAGTTAACTATTTGTTTCATTGGGTCATCTTTGTATCTGCTCTTGAACCGGTAAACAGAAGGTCACAATCATTGTAGTTTATACGTGTACAAGGATCAGAAATCAACTTAAGCCTTCCAATTCAAGCATAATTATTTAATGCTGTCTTGTTTTCTGAAATTTGCCCTGATGTTGCATTTCACTACCTGATTCGGCTTCCAAATATGACATTGTTACGTTTGTTCATGTAGTCATACTGCCCAGGTTTCCTGCTTTCGTGTCTAGTTGAGCTTATTTGAGATGTAAAACATTAAATTGGAGTGCTTTGCTTATGGTTTCAGATTGATGAGCATGTCCAGAGAGAAATCATCAACCACAGAGCTTTGAGGCATCCAAATATAGTGAGGTTCAAAGAGGTAAGCCTATAACTTCTCAGCTGGCATCCAAGGTTGTTGTGGCAGTTGTGTGACGATAGTTACATTTACTGCATGACTTTTACCTGGCTTTGATCTTTACCTATTTCAACCATGAACTGTTTTTGACACAAGCACCATGCTCATATCTATCTTACACAGACATTATGCTTGAGTACATTGTGGAAATATTACTTGTGGTCTCAAAAATTCAAATTGCTTCTTTCTTTCAAGTTGTATATGAGCAGAAAATTGCTCTAACCTGCAGGTTTGGCTGACTCCAACACATCTGGCCATTGTCATGGAATATGCAGCTGGCGGAGAACTGTTTGCAAAGATATGCAGTGCTGGACGTTTCAGCGAAGATGAGGTTGTTTTCAAAATGTGGTTGCCCTTAGTTTTGTTTTACTTTCTTCAGCCTGTCTTCTTACATTCAGTCTGATCCTTTTCACGCAGGCTAGATTTTTCTTCCAGCAGCTAATATCGGGAGTCAGCTACTGCCACTCCATGGTAGTATACCAGAAACCTTCAACTGCATTTTCTTTTCTATATCTGCTTTCCTGATAGGTTTTCCATTTTGCAGGAGATATGTCACAGGGATCTGAAACTTGAGAACACGCTGCTGGATGGGAGCCCTTCTCCGCGTCTTAAAATATGCGACTTTGGTTACTCAAAGGTTAGCTTTGTGATCATTTGCCCCCCATTGGGTTCTTCAAGAAAATCCAACCTTCATTCTCTTACTCCTGAATCTTCGTGTCTCAGTCTGGTTTATTGCATTCACAACCCAAGTCGACGGTGGGAACTCCAGCATATATTGCCCCGGAAGTCCTATCTCGGAAGGAGTATGATGGGAAGGTATTATTGGATATATTGATTACGATTGTTATAGGGACAAAAAAAAAAAAAAAAGAGTAGCTCTGTAGGGAATCTACTACTCTACTTTCATCCTAGCTTTACATTGACATTTGACAATGTGTATAACCGATAGTAGTATATCAAAGGGAGCTGTAAAAAGAAGCTGAACTGATGTTGAAACAACAGATTAGTCACTTCCCATTTCCACTGTTAGTTTGATGGTTTATCAGTTTTAGATTGCAGACGTTTGGTCGTGTGGTGTGACGCTCTACGTTATGCTTGTTGGAGGATACCCTTTTGAGGATCCTGATGATCCGAGGAACTTCCGAAAGACCATTGGGGTGAGTTATTAAGTATAACCTTTTGTGTTAGAGAAGTATTCCTCATATAATCTCTATCCAACTCCTTACACCCAACTCTTTACACGGTTATGCTAAAATCTGTATGTGTGATCACCACAGAGAATAATGAGTGTTCAGTACTCTATCCCCGATTACGTACGTGTTTCTGCAGACTGCAAGCAGCTCCTTTCTCGTATTTTTGTAGCCAATCCTGCAAAGGTACTGGTTACTTGTTAGCTTCCTGGAAATGTTTGTTAAAGTTTGGTTTTGTGCTGATGCACTTGGTTTATGATATTTCATATAATTGATTTTATCGCTTTCATTGGTTGGATTCACAACCAAAGCTAACCGTTTGAAAACCTCCCTACACAAGAGGATCACCATCCCGGAGATCAAACAGCTGCCTTGGTTCCTCAAGAACTTGCCCAAGGAGCTGGCCGAGATCGAGAAGACCAACTTCAGCGAAGCAGGAGGCAGTGAGCAACCTGCTCAGAGCGTGGAAGACATAATGCGTATCATCGAAGAGGCGAAGGTACCAGGGGAAGGTGCCAAAGCTGGCGGCGAGCAAACTACTAGCGGCGGTGCTGGGATGTCGGATGACTTGGGTTCCTTGGAACTCGAATCTGACCTTAGCAGTGACTTTGTAGCTCAAGTGTAAGAGCATTGCTGGGAGCTGGAGACTTTCGGGTCAATACTTTGGATTCCTTGATCATGCCATTCAGACACTCATTCGTGTGAATTCCAGTTGCTCAATGTCTTTGCTTTCTGGATTTGGGTTCATGGGTTGTGATATCAGATGTCTCAATGGTGCCTTGGGAAACCATTTCTGTGCCAATGAAAAGGAGGATCATATTGTATCTTAACATGTATGTGCAGTTATTATGATATTTCATATCAATACGATTCGATTCAGTTTCAATAATGCAAGCCTTTTCATTTCAAGTGGTCCAATATCAATTGATATCTTCAAAAATTCAATCAGACCGAAGAAATTTAGATATAACTAATCGAGTCTTGTAGAAAACAGGATATTTGTGATTTCCAACCACACCAAACTGCAGAAATGCAATGAAATATGTAAAACTGAAAAAAAAAAATAGAATGGTAGAAAAACGGTGGTTGAGCTTTAGTGCTTCAGATCCACTTTGTCATTTCAATTTTGATATGTTCTCTCACGTTAAATCACAATGAAGAGACAACAACCTTTTTAAAGGCTCAACCTCAAACCCTAGGATGATCTGCTACCTCCAAAACTAACACTGTTTTTTAAGCAAGAAAAAGGAGGGAAGGAAAAAGGATAGAGGAAAGTGTAGATATCGAGACATTTAACCCAGTTTGTTAAGGGAGAGAAAAAAAAGAGAAGGAAAGAGGAAGGAAAACTCACTATTACTCCCTACCCTTCAAATTGGACGGAAAATAACAATATTCCTTTTTTCACCTTATAAACCACCTTCTTCCTCAAATAATAATATAATTATACTGATTTCACAATTAACTTTACCCTCCCTTTCTCATGTATGGGTACATCCTTACCAAACTAGACTAATGGAATTCGTTTCTAGTTGCTACTTACTAGCATGAAAAACCTAGATTAATTAAGAAAATATAAAATACTCAAACCAAAATAAGCCTATAAATCATCATATACATAGTTAATAATTTTTCGGAAAGAGTTCTTAACAAAAAAAATGATTAATTTTTCCGGGTTAGAGAATTAGAAACTGGGGTTCAATCATTAGAGGTCAAAATAGGGATGACAATTTCGACCTGACCCGATTTACCCGACCTGTTTGACCTGTTTTGGGGCGGGGCGGGAATGGGTACCTCTCATCGACCCGACCTGCCTTGATCCGCCCCATTCTCGATCTGTTCTTGCCTAAATTACATGTAATCTTGGTCAAATTACTTAGGATTTTCCTCTTATTACATCATATTTTAGGTATAAAAGTTGTAAATAAATGAAAAACTCAATTTCTCAAATAATTTAACTACATTTTATCAAATTATGGTTTCTTTCTTGGTCTTTTAATTAAAATAACGAATAATTATAATATTTTTCGCATAAATTATATACCCAATGGGTCGACCTGCCCCGACCCGTGCCCCATGTTAAATTACCCAACCCGGACCCAACCTGCCACGGGACGGGTATGAGTATAGAGATACCCACTCCGGACCTGGCCTATTGCCATTCCTAGGTCAAAGTATAGTATTATGCCCAAAATTCCGGTTAATTCGTAATCTCAATAATAAAGTTCTATGGGCGCACGGTAGCGTGAACGTATACCGTATGCTAGCCAAATCATATATATTATAGAAACATAAAGTATCACGATTAGATTTTGTCATTAATGGAGATATATAGACAGTAATGCCCAATTTATATTTTTTTTATTTTTACTTAATATTAGAGTGTGACGTTAAAAGTATGTTACACTCCAAATAAAATGAATTACGAGTGTGAAATTTTTAGAGAAGGAATCAAATTATCAAGAAATATTAAAAATGAACGAGATATTAAATCGGTGAAATTTTTTAATAAAGAACCAAGTTAAAAAGAAAAAAAATATTAACCATAAGTCATGAAAATATAAACACATATTCAACAAATATATATATATATATATTTATACATAATTTAACTATTTTACTATTATACAAATAATAAAATAACATATATATCACACTTCCCAATACATATTTTCCTCCCACTTTTCCTTCACTTTACTGAATAAAACAACATTTTCTATCCCCTACAAATTTTCCCTCCCTTCATTTTCCTTCCCCTCCAATTTTCCCTTCCCTCATTTTCTTTCATTCCTTCGAAAACAGAGTGTAAAAGACAAAAGCTTAAAACTGAACCAAGTACAAGGGTCACTTTCAGTGTTCCCCAAAAGCAAAAACAAGAAGAGGCCTTGGCAAATATGCCCTTCATTGTGATCCCTCGTCTTCCTTGGGTTCATTCCAAAGCTGTGAGATGTCTAGAGCACCGTCCAGCTGGATCAGTCTTCATCTTCATCTTGCTCCAGCTGGTTTACTCTGTTTCCCTTGTTCCTTCAGCACCAAGCTTCATTTCTTGTGCTCCAAGGCATAGATAGGTTGAGAGGGAACCACCAGGTGATGAATTGCAACACTCCTCCTTGCCAATACAACCGACCATAGCAATCATGATCTTCAAACCTTGGTTTGCTGAGTGACTTGGTAAAAATATCAGTAGACTGATCTTGTGTAGAGCATGTTTCATAGCAATCAATCCTTCTGCTTCAGCCTCTCTAAGCACATGATACTTGATCTTGATGTGCTTAGTTCTTCCATAAAACACTGGATTTGTAGCCATGGCCACAATAGACCAATTATCACACCAAATGACAGTTGGTTTAGTTTGCTCAAAACCCAAATCTACCATAATTTTTCTCAACCAACAGCATGGTTGGCAGCTTCTGAACCAACAATGTACTCAGTTTCAGCAGTTGACTAAGCTACAATGCTTTGTTTTTTTTTTTTTGAACTCCAGCAAAAGACTATTGATCCCAATGAAAAAGAAAAACCAGAGGTGCTTTTCATGTCTTCAGAAGATCCGCCCAATCACTGTCACAGAACCCTTCCAAACACACTTCCTTACCTCCTTCAAACTTCAACCCGAGATTAGTGTACATTTGATGTACCTTAGGATTCTTTTAGTTTTGTTGTAGTGGATCTGAGTTGGAGCTCGCATAAATCTTGCCAGCAAACCAGAGGCAAACATTATGTCTAGTCTAGTTGCAGACAGATAAAGCAAGCTACCAATCAGACTCCTGTAAACTTTAGGTTCAAATGAACCTGATCCATCTTCTTTTGTCAATTGAATTCTCACTGGAAGTGTTGTAGAAGCAGCCTTGGCATTCTCCATTCCAAATCTTTTCAAAACTTCATTTGCATACTTAGTCATAAAACCTAGATCAATCATTTCAAACTCCTTCATCATACTGTTTTTGAAGTCTTCTATCTGCTTCACCTTGCTTCCTGTGATCAATAGATCATCCACATACAGAGAATCATCACAGTTCCAACCTCATCAGTTCTCACATAGAGAGTTGGTTAACTTGGACTCTTAGCAAACCCCAATTGCATCAAATAATCATCCAGTCTGGAGTACCAGGCTCTTGGAGCTTGTTTTAGTCCATAGAGAGCTTTCTTCTGTAGGTAGACATTATCTTCTTTTCCTGGAATCTCAAAGCCTTCAGGTTGCTCAACATATATCTCCTCCTAGAGATAGCCATTCAGAAAAGCATATTTCACAACTAGCTTATGCACTTTCCAGTTCTTCTGAACGACAATAGCCAGTAAGGATCTTATAGTGTCCAACCTTGCCACTGATGCAAAAGTTTCGCCATAGTCAATCCCAGACTGTTGAGCATACCCTTTAACCAAAAATATTGGTTTGAACTTGTTGAATCAACCATCTGAGTTCAGCTTAATCCTGTAAACCCATTTAGTTCCAATAACTTTTCTTCCAACATGCCTTTTAACCAGAATCCAGGTTTCATTTTTGTCAGTCATTATGCATTCTTCTTTCATGGCTGAGTTCCAGCCATCGTGCTTCAAAGCTTCCTTAATAGATTCAGGTTCTTCCATGGCCATGTTGCATCTTTCATACACATTTACCAATTTTTGCATGCCTCTTACAGGCATATGATCATAGTTTTCATCATCATGATCACTCTGATCATCTTTTTCAGACTCTGAATCATCAGGTTGAACTTGTTCTTGAGCTTGGTTTCATCAGCCTGAGGTTCTAGCTCATCATCTATGTCCTGATGACCTTAAAACTGAATTGTCACTAGATCATAGATGTCTTCAGATTCATTTTGAGGAGATGACCAATCATGAGTCGCCTTCTCATAAAAATGACATCTCTGCTCAATTGGAACTTCTCAGTTGTTGGATTGAAGATTCTGTAGGCCTTAGATTCTATACTATAGCCCACTAGAATCCCCATTTCATACCTATGATCAAGCTTGTCCCTTTTTGGAGCTGGAACATGAACATAGCACACAGATCCAAAGGTCCTGAGATGAAACAGACTAGGTTTGAACCCATTCCAGGCCTCATAGGGGATCTTTCCCTTAACTGACCTTGTTGTTAGGCTATTGAGCATGTAGACTGAAGTGTTCACAACTTCAGCCCAAAATATTTTGGGAATTTTCTTCTCAAACAACAGGCATCTAGCCATTTTCATGACTATCCTGTTCTTTCTTTCACTTACTCCATTCTTCTGTGGAGTATACCTGATTGTGAGCTGATGAAGTACACCCTCAGATGCCAGCAGCTTCTCAAAGGCTTGAGAAGTGTACTCTTTCACATTGTCAGATCTCAAAAAATTTATCTTTTCATTGCTTTGGTCTGCAACAAATAGCCTTAAACTTCTAGAATTTGGGAAGAGCTTCAAACTTGTTCTTTAGGAAGTAAACCCAACGATATCTTGTCATGTCATTGATGAACAACAAGAAATACCTAATTCCACCCCAAGATTCCACCTTGAAAGTCCCATATATATCAGTGTGAATCAGTCCAAACTTCACAGGAGCTCTCCAATTGTGTTTCTTAGGAAAGGGCAACCTGTGTTGTTTTCCAAGCTGATAGATTTCACACACTCCTTCATTCAACCCAAGAATAGGT